CAGTAAGAATGTTATTGGAAGGTGAGTACTGGACATGATGTAATCCCTCATGGGTCGGTAGAGACGAATTTGTTCAATGGTCCTTGGTGAACAGTGGCTTTATGATTATATTGTCTGTGATGTGAATTATCTGCACACATCTCTCATCCAAATAAAGTACGTGATAGAAAATAAAAACTCAATAACCGTTGCTTGTACAAATATTGCTTTTGCGGAACAGTGCTCACCCAGATGAAATGTAAGTGTTTTATAGTTGTTATTAATTACTACATATCCCTTTTCATAAAGCCAAATAAATAAAGTAATTAAACTCTATTATTCATAGTATTGAAAAGCATATTACATCAAGAGACAACACATTGCAATCTTAATTGAGTTTAGAATTTAAAATACAGACACAAATCAAATGTTAAAATACCTTGTGATAATTTTATTTAAAAATGAAGAATATTTGAGCGATCAATTGTTTTCAATAACTTCATCATCAGGCTCTACAGTTATAAGTCCATAATTATGATATTTTACAAAGCCAAAATAAGGCAAGTGTTAATGAATTTGACAATGTTATGTGTTAAAAATGGTGAACGTTTGCATCTGTTACAATATATATACTTCAAAATTGTATTATACGCAAATTAGAAAAATCAGTCAATAAAGGTAAGAATGATTTGGAGTAAAGTGTCCAGTCACAATAAATAGAATAGTATTATAGTAAAAATGAAAATGCAAAAAATTGTGTGAATAAAATGCATAGTAGGAGAATTTCATCTTGTCAGTTGAGATAATAATAATAATATTATTATTATTATGTGAATATAATATGTAATAAGGGGGGTGCTATCAAGGTAATTACGATAAACGAATCGAGAATGATGGATGTGAAGATTAAGATCGAGGTAATCAAAAAAGAGGGGTTACAATGTTTGTAATATTCAGTTTAAGTATCCGGGTGGTCCAGTCGTGCGCCAAAGTAAACATAGAGGCTGGATATACTTTTTCTGGATACATAAGTTTGGTTTTCTGCAGTTGATCCAGATGGCTTCGGCTATGTAGAGCAATCTTAATCTATCTCCTTGAGGTGGATATTTTGGAACTTGATATAAAACAGAGAAAACTTCCTCTATTTTGATATGATGTTCACTATCTACCAAGTGAGGAAGAATAGTTCTGTTAATCGATTTAGTAACTCCTTTTCCCAACCATGCTGGTACATGTTCAAGAACACGCAAAGACAAAGCCCTCTGAGTACGACCTACGTATTTATTTCACGAAACATTAAAGATAATATAGAATATGTAAATTTTGGGGAGCGGTAGAATCCAGAAAGCATATTTCATCCTGTCTGGGACTGGTTGGGTGGATTTACCTGTATCCCAGTGTTAATAGTGACGTCAGAACACGAATACAGTACCTTTCTCTTCAGACGCCATCACGAATAAAAATAAAGATAACAATTCTATCATACTGAGGGAAAAAATATTGGTAGCAGATTCATAATTTATAACCCACGACTGGGTTTGCTACGGTAGCTCAGTTTTACAAAAATTTCAAGGTTTTATATGTTACAATTTTGTGAATTATTTAGAATAATTTACTTTATTATGCTTAAAGTGCATTTGTTTAAATAAAATGTTTATTAAATATCAATAAGAAGTATAATTTTGATGTGTTTGTGAAAGCGTTCTTTTTCACGTCGAATAATACCTGAAAATAAGAAGAATATCCAGATATAAAAAGACTAGTATTTGAAGGAAAAATATTCTTTTTGATTATCCAGATATACTTTAAAACAGTATAAAACTTTCAGTGATTATTTATCATTCCCATTTGTATTAAACTAGGAAGCTTCCTATAGAAAAACATTTCAAATCTTTCGTAGTTATAGGGATTGATATGAATTTGAAATTTATACAAAGTATTTGGAAGTTAAAACATTCAACTTTCAAACACTGTAGCACCAACGTTGGTTTGGACAACACAGTAGTTTCACCCGCCCACATATACGAAGTGTGATTTGAGATTGAACATATAAACCTGTATATAATAAATGAATTAAATTCAGACATGATTTAATTCATTAATCCAATGTTGACACTTAATCTGTCATTACTAGTTGCATAAGTATGCATATCTCATCCGTTAATAAACTTCATACAGAAGTGTACCAGTAAAATTGGTCAAAATGAACTTTCGATAAAATGTTGAATTGAATGAAGCTTTCTGTTAACCAGTTACTTTAAGTAAGCGATTATGTAATTAATTATTTTTATTTGTGTAAAGAAATACTTACTATTTTTATTGTTCATCAAAATTAACCCAGATGATAGTATATTTATTTCATTTCAACACTTAACTAATAATAATGTGATCTAGAAAATTGTCAATTTTATTTATGCTATAAAGAATTAGGATAGAAATATTATTTCCTAATTCTCATTTTATACAATACATATATCATGTTTAAGGAATGTGTAGTAGTAGTAGTAGTAGTAGTAGTATGAGGCAGAAATAAAATGTCTCACAATCAAATACTTTCACTGTATATTCTTTCAGTCTAGTTTCAATTTCGTAGAAAATTAATTAACAAATTAAACTGCTAATATTACAATAAATAAGCACGTTTGAAAAGATAAATATAGATATTAGTAAATGCAATACATTTAATTTTATTATCTTATTAATGAATGAAATATTGATGAGAATGAGTTAATTAATACAAATACCAAAGTGGGTTTTTATGAATATTATAGTAACTTCAATAGTTGACATCATGAGTCTATTAAACACAGACCATCATGGAAAACCTAGAAGCACTAGACGGCTATTTCATCCTATAGTGGTACTCCTCAGCAGTGAACATCCACCATCACGACCGACGAGATTCTAACCCAAGACCCATCTGTGTCGCGTGCGAACGCTTAACCACTAGACCACTGGTCTGGGCGGCATCCAACGGTGTCACTGTCTAACTTCAACTAGTCCACGACATTGAACGACACATCCACCATTGTCTTCAGTGAGTTACTATCTCACAACAGGCCAGGTTGGATCCCACTGGTCACTACTTCTCACTAGAACTCCAGGAAATACCTCTTGAAGCCAGTCACTAGTGAGCATATGTTGAATAATATCAGAAGGGGATTTGTGGATATTATAGTAATTTCAATAGTTAAGATCATGAGTCAACGCTTCCAGGTTTTCCATGGCGGTCTAGCTTCAATAGACTCATTGTCTCAACTACTGAAAATAATACAAATACAAATGTAAAAAAAAACTGATGCTACAAACTAATTGGTCAATAATAATGGCAGACATACTTCAGATCTATGACAGTCGTTATTTTTTTAAGTTCCAGATTTCGGTTATCAAAAAATGTATTGAATATGCTTTTCGAACCAATCTACTATGGTAATAGATTGTTCAGATTAATGAATTTAGTCATAGAACATAAGTACATAAATACCAGGTAACATAACTGCTTTCTGTTCACTAACATGTGCATGCAGTTGAAGCTTTCTCTTATTTCACACATTTATGACATCTAATTTTTCAATAGAAATAGTTGATATAAAGAATAAATGATGTTCTTAATAAAAGGTTTAAATAATTATGTTGTGACACTGTTATCTACTATCAATACGATTTCAAAAAGCTAAACTTATTATTTATTTATAAATGCTCGTATTTTACAGTTGCAGGTTTTATACTTTTAACTAATCGGTCACTGTTGGTATAAGTACATACCAAGCAAATCCCTACATATTTTTCTTTGACTGAAATTCTGTGTTATACTTGGGTTTTAAGTAATAGTGAAATTGATAAACAGTATTTTATACATTTTGAAACCTATCTGTAGAATAAACATTAATACCAGTGTTAGTATTCACTCTTTGGTTTATTTTGGTCAACAAACATAATTTAAAACAATAAGTTGTCGCTCAAGGATAGGATTATCATTTAACTATAAATATTTACACAAAGTATGATTCCCAATCTGCACATAATTCAATATACCGGAGTCTAACAGTCATAAATCTATTAACATAATGGTACAAAATTTCATACTTCAACCCTTGAGCCCAGTCTAGATTTTCTCGGAATTAGAGGTATAACTTGTTCATAAGTGGCACTTGCTAAGAAACGTATGTACAGGTCTTTTCAACGGTTGTTTCCAACCAATTTAGGTCTGAACCTCAAGCCTACACAACTACTGGTTGTATTGTATTCGACATATGAAACATCAACTTGTTGAAGACTAAATTATCTGGCTCTAGTATGTGAATCAGATTCAATTTTAACACTTACTGAACAAGAAGGTTAAGACAGATACCGATCATTTACTCCATTCATCAAACATCTATTACATATATATGCGGCAAAATTACCATCATCTTGAAAACCATATGATATATTATTTCTATTTCTAGCTACCTTAACCTAATTATCCAGGTTCATCACGTTTAACGAAATGAGAATTTTTCACTTTTACTTATGTTTTATAGTGTATACCAGCGAATACTGTGATAAATAATTTACTGAACTTATTGCCAATTTTTATTGATCCAATGTATCTTGTGCAACCATAGTTTACACTTCATGTCTTAAAAGATTTTGAGGAGTTTTAGTTCATAAATTGGTTTCTGTTACTTAGTAACAAAGATTGGATTAAGGATATACGAAAAATGTTTTTGTAAATATAATGTTTTTGACTGTAATTATTAAAACTTGGATGAAACAATTCACTATGATAATGTAAGTGAATTTTCTAAGATATAACTGAGAAAAATAATAAGAACTGAGATGTAATAATAAAATAAATATGATAATCTAGAGCGATCTTTACTGAAAATCCGAAAATTGGTTACTTATTTCTTACAGTAGCAAAAATAATGTTTATCCAATAAAAATTAGGCAACTTTCCCGTTTCATTAATAATGGACCAATAAACAAATAGATACTATTTCAGATTTTACTTACTATTCTTAAAATAAATTCAACAACGGATACTGAGAAAAAAATTATTTTAGAATAGAGAAAGTTGAAAATTCCTTCTTTTAAATAAACTTTGGTAACATCGAGTATTACTATTTTGGTAAGTGAAATAATTGAATATTATGAATTATAGTAAATACGTACTTAATAAAATATCAGAAGAGGTTTTTGTGAATATTATAGTAATTTCAATAGTTGACATCATGAGTCTATTAAACACAGACCATCATGGAAAACCTAGAGGCACTGGACGGCTATTTCATCCTATAGTGGTACTCCTCAGCAGTGAACATCCACGATCCCGCCCCACGACATTTGAACCGAAGATCTATCACTGTCGCACGCGAACGCCTAATCAATAGACCACTTATCTGGTCGGCATCCGACAGTGTTAATGTCTAGATTCAACTAATTCACGAAATTGAACGACACATCCACCATTGTCTTCAGTGAATTACTATCTCACTAGAACTCCAGGAAATACCTCTTGAAGCCAGTCACTAGTGAGCATATGCTGATTAGTATCAGAAGGCGACGAAACGGCCGTCCAGTGATCCTAGATTTTCCATGGCGGTCTAGCTTCAATTGGCTCATGATACCAACTATTGAAATTATTAAAATATTTCTAAGATTCTGTTTGTTTCTTAACGTAAATTAACTTTTTGTGTATACGACTATTTGTTTCCAGAAATAACAAGATTTCTGAAGATGGTTCATAATAAAAACTATATGTTTGTAAACATTTTTTGAAAAAAAAACACTAAATTTTGACATAGTGAGGCCACTATTACATCATTTCTAAATTACTCATAGACAAAAGACCGCAAAATGCTAAATAATAATTTTTTTGCTTATTGAAATATTAAATGCCTTTTTATTTTTGCTATATTAGGTTGTTTTTAAATTAGTTTATTAATATCTTTATTCCTTTCCTATGTCGTTTAATCAAAGTATCCCATTGGAATTTCATAGTGTTAAACATTTTCAGTTGATTATATGAGATTATAATTAATAAAATTGAAAATAATCATATCAGTTTACGAAAAATGATTTAGCAAAACGTAACATAGTTGATTTCTTGACGTTTCAGTCATTTATACCAAGAACTAGAGTTTTTACTATAATTCACCCACTATGTCCAACAATACTAAAGTTTTAAAAAATCTAATATTATTGTAACAATTAGATTGATTATCATTGAACAATAGTTTCGTGATTCTTTTTTCCGATGGTGGTCAAAATCATTGAGATGAACAAGCGTCAGCATTATAAGGAAAGTGAAATATGATTTTCTTTGAATTTTTAGTGATTCGAATAAAACTATAAACATCAGTATCAAAAATATTATTTCGTTCAACAGGTAAAACCAATAGAATATGTCGTTTTTATTAAAACATTTATTTAGAATAATGTTAAATGTAGAAGTTATCTCACAGACTAATAACAATTGTATCCTTAGTACAAATTGGATTTATGATATTTTACTGAACAAATACGATTGATGGGTTACAGTTGTAGGTCGTAGTTGAAATACTATTTAGTCTTCTCTTGGTCGTGATATCATGCAAAGCCAATGACTTCAATACAGACTGTATGAAATTAATCACGAAGCAAGCCATCAGTGTGCATATGATTAATGTTTAGTCGAAGCAATTGTAAAGGATAGAGCAGCGTGAAAATATCTTTCGTCACGATTTATGTGTGCTGGGGAAATGTTGAAGCGACAGGAGTATTTGAACGTCCAAAAAGTGAAACAATAAATTAAGCAAATTTTTATAGAATGAGAGTCAATATGGTTCAAGATTCTACTACGTTTTAAACAGTGAAATGTAATGTTTTAATCAAGGATTTATCAAAATTCATCGTAGTTATATCTATGTCTAAATAATATTTACCTCGTAACAAAGGTAAAATTAGTGATTTGTCACATCCGTTCATCGAAATTATACTCGAAATAGATCGGCTTTTGTAGTGAATAGGAATCAGATAATTTTTCAACTGAACAATAAATAATATTCTGTTCTTTTAATTTACTAGTGAGATAAGTAAAATATAATAATATATTTTCTGTATATCAATGGCATGATAAATAAATGTGAATAACACCTTTACTATGATTGTACAGAAGCTCATCAATTTGATTTGACCAAGAAATCTTAATTGTCTACTCATTAGATTGATGTGTGCATGTTAACAATCAAAGGTAGTTACGACTGGTGTGTGTAGTAGGGAAATGCCATACACATACACATATAAACATATCCAAGTACATATATATATATATATGTATATAATTTTGTCATATAATTAATAATTTATATATGATTTTAAATAGCCATCTTCTTGTTTATTGTTAAAAAGGAACATTGTCTTTATTTGTCTAAAAAGAAAAAGTTATTTTTCAGATCACTGACCAAAGTCTTAGTAATTATTTATTTGTATGGATAAAAATAGTGATAATTAAGCTTTAATTAGGATCTTCTCACAAATCTAACTCTCATTTATGTCTAACATTGTTAAAGGTATACTTCAAAAAACGTGAAATATGTAAGCCTGATAGTTAATTTGCATACGTGCAAATATTTAAGGTTTTTTGAATTAAAATTTATGATTGTTAGGGTCTAAGATGTATCCAACATAAAAATATGTGTTTAGTTGGTTTTGAGGTTGAAATTAGTTGCGAGATGGCTTTTTTCCATAAAATGTCGATCACTGGTGAAAACTAAGCCTAGAAAACAACATACCGTTATTTCGCAATAGTATGTGGCTTTTCTGTTGCTCGCCTCAATAATGTAATTCATGAGTCTCCAAGTATCAAAGTGAGCGGGTCAAAATCCGATGACTTCGATCTACAACTTTAGTCAGTTGATTATCTTGTTCGACAGTGTTACTGAAAACAATTATTGTAAACAATCAGACTACTAGACGGTTTTATTTCAAATACTGAGTTCTCAAACTCAAAGTTATTTTCATGTAGAATGATCTTACTGTGATTTTGTATTATTCACCGTAATGTAAAATACACATAAATCGAGTAACCTTCACTGACGTCAGAAAAATGTTTTGCAAGAATGGTTATATAAAAGCTACATAATTGTGAGACATGTTCACTGTGATTATTTAAAAAGGAATAAATCTGGTGTACTCTAGGCATGATCTATGTTAGTTTAATTGTCAGGAATAGTAGTGTTTTAAAAACTGAAGGCTAACATCTCTTTCTACAGTTCTTTAGTAGGTTGGTTACTAACTTAAAATAGCCACTCCGTGTGTGCGATTTTGACATGATTACTCAGCTAACAATCCTGAAAATTAAATGAAGTAACTAGTTTCTGCAACAAATTTCTGAAAGATTAATAAATTTCGAGATGTGTTTGTAGGTTCTCAGATACATTTCATTAGTTTTAGAAACAAATAATACTACATCACGAAAGGGAATGAAATAAACTCCTTCATTTATGTCTTGATAAATAGATACATGGAATAACTGAAGATATAATTTACACAAACAGTTAGTTACTAATTAATAAGAAAAAAGAAATACAAATTAAAATAACTATGCAACTGCTGATAATAAGAAAATGATTTATTTTGACTAATTCCTTATATCGATTCAATTTCTACTTACTGGCCATAGAAAGTAGCACTGTATTACATGACAAGATGCAGATCAGACTTTGCTTTTATTAGTCGAAACTGTCATTATCATTGCAATGCTTTCGAAATTTCCGTAACATGCGCTAACGAATAGGTTTTTTTGAAAATTTCCTTAGTTTCATGATAATAAATTAATACTAAGTGATTTATGACTTAACAGGAATGAAACTCTATGATAATAAATTTAACGGTACTTTGTATGTAACTCTAAAAACGTTTTAGCGGTAATTTGAAGTTTTTTTGCAAGACCTACTAAAAAATGAAAAAATATCCAGTAGTATTCACTAAAAGTTCTTTTTAGTTAATCACATGGTAAAGTCCAGACTACTTGAATATTCATTTTATTACTCTGTTGAAAAAAACTTTATGACAATCACAGAACAGTGTTTTCATTCATTTAAATTAATCCAGACTCTTTCTAATTACCCTTTTTAAATTAGGACAAAAATTAACTTAAAATAATACTTACTTGGATAAGTAATAAATATATCAAACCGCTTATTCAAGAATACACAAAGGAACTTGGCTTTGATCAATAAAAATAACAATGAACGTTGTAATATTTACTTAGTGTTGTTTTACTTGTATCTTCCCATTGTTATTTAGGACTACTAGTGATCAGTCTCTTGTTGGCATACATGCATCATGTGCGGACTGTCTCGATATAAATTTATTTGTCTTATGGATTCTTCTCGGTTATTTACAATTTTAAAACAATATTATAGGTTGATTATAACCAGTAAACATACTTCAAACCAAACAAGTTAAGATTAGTAAAAAACAATATATATAAAATAACCTATGAAAATATTATAGCGACTCAATATTTATGTTTACTAAGGTGAAAACCTGTTAAAAATTTTTCGAAAATGCATAAAGGCAAATTTCTAGGAAATTTAATTTTTTAACAAACCATGTTGTAAAAGTATTGTAGAAACCGTGTGATTATTAACCAAATACCTGATAATTTATCACTAGGTTTATGAAGTTTTAGGAAAATTTGGAAACTTAATAAAATCTATTGATTTTATATGAATGATATGATTATAGACGACTATGTAAGATTCCAAGGAAATATAACTTCTTACTCTGAACAACACTGTTCATCCATTACAATGAAAATAACAAAAAAGGTATGTTCAGTTCCAGTTGAGGTATTTTTGCCTGATAAAATAAAAACGTATATCAATAATTAATTGTAATTGTATTGCATTTATAATACAAGATATGGCTCACTAAATATATGGATAAAAAGCTCGATTCTATTAACTAAATACACATTTTTTATAGAAAATGTTTAATCACTAAGTTAAGAAGGTTGTATAGACAAAAATGCATCTGACATTTTTTTCTTAGTTTTCACTAAAAATTAGCTGGCAAGTAAACATCCATGTTCAGTGGACAAAATCATCCAGGTTGTTTTCTTTATTAATATTATTGAAATAA